AACAGTGACAAACCTTTTTACCTAACAGTTTTTTTAATTGACCCCCCCCCCCCCCCCCTCAAAAATCGATTTCAGCCCAGGAACATCCAAATGAGATGAAACTTTCAGGATATGTTGGCGCTAGAAAGAGAAGACTACCATAAAATTTTCAGTCAGAAATCTTCAGGTTTCAAGGAGATATGAGCCAAACAAGGGTTAAAAATGACTCATTTGGCATCCCAAATCTCTCGGTCCTGGTTCGTTCAATATATTAATATTTTTTTTGTTGTTGGAAAGAGCATCTCAAGATGCAGGGCATGACATTGCCCTTTTTTTGAAATAGTCCATTTTTAAGCGCAAAAAATGGATCACAAGTTCAATGACTCAAAAAGTGTCAAAAAATGGTAGCAAAATCATATAACTAGCTGTATATTGACCAAACAAAGACCTAATTAAAAAAAGGGCAATGTCATGCCCTGCGTCTTGAGATGCTCTTTCCAACAAAAAAAAAATATTAATATATTGAACGAACCGGGGAGAAGAAATTTGGGATGCCCTTTTTGGAAAGTGATAGTTGAGAAAAAATCGAAAATCTTTTTGGTTTTTTTCTAAAAACAGCTTATTTTTTCTCATAGAGGGTGACGAAAATCTTGGAAATTTCTCGGAAAAACTAAAGTACTGAAAGAAATTTTTGTCATTTCTGAAAGAGCAGATCACGGGCTATCTCCCTATGTATTTATCTCAGTTTCAATACTTCTGATCAAAAGTGAATTTTTTTGAGGGGAGGGGGGAGGCTTGAGTAAATTCATCGACTTATACGAAAAAAGGTTAAGTGACTGATAGGAAGAAAAGAAAAAAAAATGACACTCATACAACAAATATATGACTGATTAGATGAAACATAAAAACAAATGAGATAGTAAACTGCAATAATACAAAGATAAAATGTATAGAACTGAGGAGAAAAATGAAAAATAAATGTCAACGTGTTTATAAACAGCTGGATCATATAACTCACTTTTTATGGATTTGAAATATTTTCTCAAGATGACTAATCTCCATAATAAATTTATACTTTTCTTCGTTTATCTAAGTGAAAAATTTTATTTCGAATATGTTACACAACTAACTTTTGACACATCAAGAAAAAAATTTCCTATGCAAATAGTTGATAGAAAATATCATCTAAAGCGATTCAGTTCTGAATGAATAGAATATCGATATCATAGGAAAACATATTGATAGTTACGCTTCAATCGTTTCGGTTTACTCAAAATAATGTTTTTTTTTTGTTTACCAAGTGCTTCAGATGTGCAGTTATTTTTTCGTTCTATTATTGTTAAACTTGTTATTTTTTTTTCTTTTAACAATAGTAAACATTCTCAAAAGCGACCACGTTCAGTTGAGTGTTAACGTTTGTTTTCAGATTTGAACCTGTCTAGAACTGTTATACCAGCATTTCGGATATCACCGTTTAAGATTAATAGCGATAATATTTCTGAATGTAACAAACTATAGAGCTTGGCTATGTGTAGATGTAAAGATAAAAAATTTTCTTAATTATTTATTGTATTTTTGGAGGATTGAAGTAAAATGATAGTGAAGAAATTATACAAGGATTGTGCTAACAGTTTTTTTCTTCTTCTTTGTTATAGTTAATAACATGTTCTGGTAATGGAAAAGATTCATCATTACGTTTTATTCGAACTGGTATTGGAATTCATGAACATGCATCAATTGATTTAAGAAATATAAAAGGTTTATTCTGATGAAATAATTATTTCATTTAAATATTTTCTTTTCATTTAGGAATTTGGGCATTAAAAATAGATAATCATTATGATAATCATCTTGTTGTTGCTTTTTTTGATCAAACAAGGTAAATATTTGTTTTCTTTTTAATAATTTTTTTTTATTCTATTTGTTATATTTTATCTAGATTATTTCATTTACAAAATGATGAAATTGAAGAAGTTGAATTAGCTGGTTTTGATTTTCAACATCAAACATTATTTTGTGCTAATGTTGTATCGGATCAATATTTACAAGTAAAACATTTTTTTTGTTTTGTTTTATAATAAATAAAAATTTTGTTGTTGTTGTTTAATTTTTTATTAGATTACAACACATTCAATTCGTTTAATTGGTAATAATGGTAAAGATTTACTTATTGAATGGATAAATGATCAAAATGAAATAACTGTTGGTTCATCAAATACAACTCAATGTGTATGTGCAATTGGAAATCAATTATTTTATTTTGAAATTGGTCGAGCTAGTTTAAGTGAAATCAAGTAAATTATTTTGTTTTTTAATTAATATAAAAAATAAATTAATTTTGTTTTAGTAAATGTAAATTACCATATAATATAGCTTGTTTGGATGTAACACCATTAAATTCTCAAGAAGAACGTACAAATCTTTGTGTGGTGGGTCTTTGGACACAAATATCTGTTTGGATATATCGTTTACCAACACTTGATGTATTACATAAAGAACCATTGACATCAGGTATGATGTAAAGAATTTATGAATTAAATTAAAATCAATTTTTCAAATTGAAGTTCTTGTTGTTTCTTTTTTTTCGAGTTTATATTATTTTCAAAAGAAGAATCTTAATTTGAAGAGAGATTTTAGGATTAAAACATTGATTTAAAAGTAACAGCCAATTATGATTTGATTATAATACAGTCGAGGACAAAAGTTTAAGCGATCTGCATTTGTCCTTTCTCTTGTTCAGCGTCTATCTCAGTCCAAGTAAGTCGAAACCATTTCGTTCACCCACCATCTTGTGCAGTTTTCGACGCTCTTTCCAGCGGTGGGTGAATTAAGGAGATTTGAGTTAATGGGGCGGAGTTATTGCCGTTTTCGGTGTTTTGTGAGCCTCTATGTATAATGCGAATAACTCCGCCGTCTTTAGTCGAAAGTCCGATCTTTTTTTCACCAGTTGATAGCCCTTAAAATTCTGCATTGACCTATGTGACTTTTGTCCCAATATTCTAAAAGCTATAGGTCAAGAAATTCGTACCACCAAAGCGGANTCCAAGACGAATCAGTTGGTTTCACTTACTGCAGATAAAATGACTACTTTTTCTAATCGGATCAATTTTCTTTAGCAAAAAAATCCTTTTTAATGATGAGCAGAGTTCATATTTCAACTAAACAAAAACATCAAATACAATAGGTTACTGTCGATATGAGAACAGGAAATATGTTTCAAAGTTACATAAGTATATATATATAGAATCCTAGAGATTAGCAAATTGAATCCGAGGAAATGAAAATTCGAACGTTGTAAGAGCAATACAAGAATGTGTTAAAGAGATTTTCCTAATATCCAAGTATTCAACGTAGACTCGTTAAGCTCATATTTGAGACAACAGTCTATCACATTTCAATCGCCATGGACCGAAATAGATAATTACAAATTCTTGGTTTTGATTGAGGAATTACTTATTCACACTTATTTATTGAATAATGCAAAGCAGTTTCAAATACCTATCACCTTCAGCTCCCTACTTTTTGAAATGCCAGTAACTTGCAAAATAACATAAATTTATTTTTCATTCACGCAACGAAAGCTATTATATCTATGCTCACGATACTATAGATGCAATTTCATTAGGCTTTTTGCTATAAATATTGACTTTCAGAAAACCGAAGTTTTCAATGGTCAATTAGTACATAAACCATTGAAGATGAGTGGCATGTATTGACGTATTTTCTTCCCTTATTCAGTAGTCTTATTTCTGTACGATTCACTTTCAATTAATATAAAAATAATATCTTTCTGATTCAACACACTCTTTTTTCAATACTTTTCTTTCTATATTTTTCCGTTCGATGATTTTCCTTTCGACATTCGTCTTTTCTATATTTATTTTCGACATTTTTCTTTTCTTTCTTTTTCCATTATACCGTTCTGGACACCTGATCAGCTGCAGATTTGAAAACTGGAAACCCGATAAAAAGTATCTCGAATCTTCAGGACAGCTATTCTATTTCGATTAGAGGATTTCATTGAAAGTATTATAGTACGATTTGATCAGATCCGAAAATTTTCAAATCGATGAGCCTATTATTTAAATCTCTTGTATTTTAATCGATTGATTATTTTAGGTTGTCTTGTTACACAACAAACAGCTGAATCAACAATATCAGTTGAAACATGTACTTTAATGGGTGGTGTATCAGGTTATATTGGTCTACTACTTCAATTAACATCATCATTGTATCAATTATTGATGTCATTACAATTAGCTTTAGCTGAATATGTTCCAAGTGTTGGTAAAATTGATCATGGTGCATGGCGTTCATTTGAATCTGATGGACGTTCAGATGTTTCATGTGGTTTTGTTGATGGTGATCTTATTGAAACATATCTTGATTTACCAAAATCAGTTCAACAAGAACTTATACAAGATTTACGCGTATGTTTATTTAATAAAATATAATTTTTTGTTTTTCTAATTAAATTCAATCATTTGTTATTTTCTATAGGGAGAAAATAATATTCCACTAAATACAACTGTTGAAGAATTAGTCAAAATAATTGAAGAACTTGCACGAATACATTAAACTAAACATGTATATACATATTTTTGCGTGTGTGTGTGTGTATAATTCCTTTCTTTTTTTTTTGTAATCCTTGATTTGATCATAAGAAAGTCTAGCAAAAGAAAAACATATTCTCTATACCTGTATTAAAAAGTCGTTATTTTAGATGGTATTATTGATTAATGAACATATATATTCAAAAAAATGTTCACTTGAAGATTTAGCACAACATAATGATTTAATGAAAGTTTCACATGAATTAGCTTCATCAGAAGAGTATAAACAACCGATAGAAGAAATATCAAAAACTATTTATGTTTATCAACGTGAATTTGCTGTTATAGCAAAAAATGATCGAAATGGTTTGCATTTAATTGGAAGTGATAATGCAACAACATGTCATATACTTGTGCTGGATAATCAAGTTGCTATTGCATTAGCACATTTAGATGGAGGTGAAACACGTGAAAGTATTAAAAATATGTTAGAAGAATTAACTAAATATGCACCACAAAATACAGACTATGATGCTTATATTGTTGGTAAGTAAGTTATATTTCATAGATTATCAAGAAGTAGAAAATGTCTACAAATTGGAAAAACTCCTTGGTTATGTCAGATTAGTATCTTTGAGACTATGTACTTTAGGTAATATCGTAGTGAGCTATGAATACACTAGAAAGATTTTGGATCCTTAGCTTATTGTTGTCGAGATACTGCATTTTACGGTATTTTCCACTTTGATACTGTATTCCTCATAGGAAAACTCATTTTTGAATTTTACTTTGAAACTGTCCATACAGATCGGATTCATCGAGAATAGTTTATCGTGAAAGTTTCAGATATTCTTATTATTCCTATCCTAAGATACAGCTATGATAAAAGCTTTTCAGTTACATTGTTTATATACATTCGGCAGATTTTATGTTCTTATTTAAAAAAAGAAGCAAATAAAAATAGCGAAAACTGTCACAATAAACTATTCTTGTTAAGATCTGTTTTCTATACAAAGTTTCAAGTCAAGATTCATCAATAAATAATTTTCCTAGTGTTCCTGAGAGAACCATGGTATTGACTTGAAAATAAACCTAAAAAATACAATATCTCAGTAGCATTAAGCTAAGGGCATGAACTCTTTTTTTAGAATACTCATAATTCAATAGTGTCTACAAGATGCACATAGTCCGGACTCGAAAGCCATTAATCAGTTGGAGGGTTTGTTTGTTGTTAGCTTTAATCTAATTTGCATATTGTTCTATATGAAAATTTTGAATTGATTCTTAAATAAATATTTTATAGAAGTTGAATTCTTCAATCCTTTTTTTTCTGCTTCTGAGCACATTTAACAGTTTTATTCAATTTTTGGTCTTTATAATCGTATATATGAGTAAATTTGATTGCTTCAACTCTATATTTCATCATTCAGTATCTTCTATGAATGTTCTAATCAGAATCAAATCATTAGAATATGATATGTAATTCTTTTAGATCAGTTTCTTTTTGCATAAAATGAATCGAAATCTCAGTAGCCACATATGATTGTCTTTAGCCTTATTGTATTGATACAAGACACATTCAGTGAATTATATCTAACAGCATACAGTTGTTTTCCATGAATAATTGATCATTAGTCATATAATTTATTTTGATTTATTTCTGTAATGCCAACGGAAATTTCTTCTTTTATTTTTTTGTTATTTAATAATTCTAGGTGGTTTTCTCGATGAATCAAATCGACAATACTCTCGAACCTTAAGCAACGAAATTCTTCAAATGTTTTTGACAATGGAAAATATTTCATTTCATCTTAAACTTGCAGCAATAACAACCTATAATGATCACATAGTCAATAATATTCATTATCCACAGATATATGGTATTTGTTTTGATATAAATACAAAAAATATTCGTAAAATGGAATTTATCGATAATGGACCAGCGTTTCGTTTACGTACATTATATCCAATAGCTAATAGTCATGGTGCATCGTGTATTTATTCATCATTGGAAGGAACAATTAAAATTAAAAAAATTCATATAGATAGTAATTTAATTGTACCTTATTATAAACGTTTATATACACACGGTTTTCATAATGATCAACAATTACTTACAATGACATCAACATCACCTAAACAAGAACGAAAATCGTATATAATAAATATGAAAAAAACTATTTTATATATTTTAAAATATTATAAAGATATATCGAAATGGTTTGATGAACAAACACATTCGATTGTCTATTATCGTTCAAATGATAAATGGATAACTGATAATAAAAAAATTATTGATGACATTGAAATTGAGTAAATCTTTTTTTTGATTTTTGTTTTTTTTTTAATATTCTTTTAGATAAAAAGAAAGTCCAATGTGGAAACAATTTGTTGGTGTAAATAAACAACGTTTATTATCATCCATACAAATATTTAAAAGATTACAATCATCATCAACACAATATTATCCTATTAATGATAATATTTATGGACTTACAGATGATCAAAAACAGGTTTTAAAAATAGATCGGATTTTTTTTTGTTTTCTTCAATTAATTTTTTATTATGATAGTTACGAGAAACTGTATTTGCATTTGCACAAAAAGAATTAGCACCACATGCTAATACTATTGATCGTGATAATTCATTTCCCAAACTTCGTGTAAGTTTTAAAACATAGGTATTTTTTCGAAAGAATTATTCTTTTTTTTGTTTGTTTCGTTTAGGAATTCTGGAAAAAACTTGGTGATCTTGGTCTTTTGGGTATTACAGCACCTGGTAAATAAGTATGAATTTTGTTTGTTTGTGCTGTGAATCAAGTGTTGAATAAGACAATGATATGTTCAGTTTTATATGTAATAGAATAGCTTTGAAAGAAAATATTTCTATCAACTCGAACTGAATTATAATGCTACTAACCAATAGCGTAAAAGTCTTGGCACTAAACATATTTGCGGTTTTCTTTTTGACCACTAAAAGACAATTGATAAGAATTAGAATTTTTACTTATTTTCGAGTGTATGTTCAGATTTTCTTTCTATGGTACGATTGAACAACTATCGATAAATTTTGTGAAAAAGTCCAAAATTATGTCTGTACAAAGTAAAATAGCGGTTTTGACGCAATCCTTAGTTTGTGTTTTAATACAGCTTCAATTGAATATTATTGTAGAGCACTGCATTTCGTATACAATGGGATATGTGATCCTTTGCGCTTCCATTAAAGAGCTAATTTATATGACAATTGGCATTGACCAAATATCGCTGTTTCAAAAATATAGAAGTTTTAAAATCTGTCATGAAAACGCAAGCTATTAACATTTGTTTCATATTTTGAATTTGATAGGTTTCAATCGAAATACATAGCTGATCAAAATAGTTTTGTGTACAAACATTATTTTTCAATCTTTTGAAACTATCTGATGATAATTGTTTCTTTCTTACTCTAGAAGGAAATTCAGAATATATATTCGAAATTCTAACTAACTACTTCTGGACCTAATCAGTTGCCTGTAAGTGTTCGAAACATCAGTAAATATTTTGTGCCAAGAGTTTCACATCATAAGTTATATCCAATTAGTTAGTACAATATTTGTGAGTTATTTTAATACGTTCACGGATCGATGATATATTATCAATCACAGGGAATGCTAACTCTTGTGTCTGCAGAGAAGGACTCAACATGAATAAGATAAGTCGGTGTTAATTTCGATCTTGGTCCTATCCTGGATTCTCGATTATAGGGAGGATGGGAGGGGTTGGGGGAATATTTTCCAGAGTAAAATAAAAATAAGCATACAATGTCGTGCGCGGTGAATAGGTTTGTGGCAGATACCAAACTTTTTTGCCTCTCCTATCGCTAAAAAATTTCGACAATCTTGGTCCTATCATCTATGTTTAAGAGGAATAAATTTTGATCGTTCATCATAGAATCATAAAGCTGTCGTTCGGAAAAAGAAGATCATAGATTTTCATAAAACTTTTAATTATATTAAACTCAATGATATCGATCACAGAAAAATACTCAACAGTATAATTTATAAGATAACGATTCGTCTTTTAAATTGTGAAAATGATTCAATCGTACACAACATTTTCATAATAAGAGTCTGATTCATTTAACTTTTTTTGATAGGATTATTATAAAAAATATAATTTCTAATGAACATTAAATTCTCACATGTATAAATTTTTACTTCTAGTTGAATATGGTGGTTTGGGTTTACATTATACAGAACATTGTATTGCAATGGAAGAAATATCACGTGCAAGTGGAGGTATTGCTCTAAGTTATGGTGCACATTCAAATCTTTGTGTTAATCAAATTGTTCGTAATGGTGATGATGCACAAAAACACAAGTATTTACCAAAAGTTAGTCAATAATCATCATGTATGCACATATATTTTCTCTTGTTTTATTTATAGCTTATTAGTGGTGAACATTTTGGTGCCTTGGCCATGTCTGAATCTCATTCAGGCTCTGATGTTGTTTCAATGAAATTATCCGCGGAAAAAAAAGGTTTGTTAAATTCTTTCTCGCTCAAAATCGATTTTAAGTGAGGAATATTCAAATCACATGTCATTTTTAGAATATATTGGGATTATACATGATGTTTTCTGAAGATATTTATCAATCAAGAGTCGCAAAATAACTAATTTAACAAGTAAAAGAAATATAAAATATATAGTACAAATACCTATCGATAATTTTGAGCTATCGAATCAGTTATTTTCGATTTTTGTTTGATAAATTTCTCAAGAAAAAAAATTATGGTATCTAGTTGAAAGTTTCATCTAATTTGAATATTGCCTATCAAAAATAGATTTTGCATAGTGAAGAATACTCAACGATTACTCGTACATGAATCATGTTTGATACTAATCGACAAGAGCTTTTTGTAAACAGATATCAAATAAGGTTGTTTTTCTTAATTAGTCTAATATCGTTTTGATATTTTTGCATATATATACAAACAAGTATATCTATTAATTGATGCTTTAGAAGTTTTTTAACGAGTAGTCTAAACAGAAAAATGAGACGGTTGATTGATTTCTTAGTTGTATACTATTTATAAACGTTCGTTTCGAGCATATCAAAGAAAAAAAAAATGATGATAGGAAATAGTGAAGGTTCCTATCCACAAAATTACGAATCAACAAAATTTACTAGTTTACCGAGTAATTGGAATCAAGAATCATGGTCTATGCAACAATCTCAACAGCCATCTTATTATAGTTCATCATATCAACAACAACAGAATTATCAAGAGACAATTAACAAACAAAATAATAACATTTCTCCATCGTTTAAACTATACGACTTTGGTCGAAATAATCGAAATGATATAATACATTTTATTTTTTCTGTTGTCGGTGTATCATATAGCGTGAAACGTATTAAACATGAAGAATGGGACAGAGTTAAAAGTCTAATACCTATTCAACAATTACCTATTTTACGCGTTAATGATCAATTTAAAATCTATAATCTCAATGCAATTGTACGTTATTTAGCACGAGAATTTAATTTATATGGTTCAAGAAATTATGAACATACCATTGTTGATATTGTTCTTGAATTAACTCGTCAATTTCAAGAAAAACTTTTTGAATTAATTAATAAATCTACTAATGTTGAACAACAAAGGCCACTTCTAACTCAATTCATTATTGATCATGCAACAAGTTATTTAAATCAATTAGAAAAAGTTTATGAAATATATCACAACGGTGGTCCATTTTATTTAGGTTCTCAAATTTCAGTTGCTGATTTAATTGTTTATCAAACAATTAGTTATTTAATTGATACCGAGCCAAAACTACTTGATAATTATCCTAATTTAAAAAAAGCACGTTGGTGTTTAGAAAAGCATCCTCAATTAGCCAATTATCTAAACAAAAAGCATTTTAAAATTAAAAAAATACGTCATACAACTGTACCGCCAACATTACGTCAAGTAAATCATCATCATCGACATCGATCATATGACGAACATAAGTATTCTCATCGTCAATATCCAACAGCACCAACACCTCCATTACAAACAAAAGCAAAATCACAACCACTTAGTTCTCAATCGATTGAAAAAAGTTCAGCACCTCCATTACAAACAGCAAGACAATCAAAACCAGCTAGAGCCCAATCAACTGAAAAAAGTTCAGCACCTCCATTACAAACAAAAAGAGAACCAAAACCACGTAGTTCTCAATCAATTGAAAAAAGTTCAATACCTCCATTACAACTAGAAAGAGAATCGAAACCACCTAGAACTCAATCGATTGAAAAAAGTTCAGCACCTCCACTACAAACAGAGGGACAATCAAAACCAACTAGATCCCGATCGACTGAAAAAAGTTTAGCACCTCCATTACAAGTAAGAAGAGAACCAAAGCCATCTAGTTCCCAATCGATTGAAAAAAGTTCAATACCTCCATTACAACTAGAAAGGGAATCAAAACCACCTAGATCCCAATCGATTGAAAAAAGTTCAATACCTTCACTACAAACAAAAGAAGAATTAAAACGACCTGCTTTTCAATCGATTGAAGAAAGTTCAGCACCTCCACTACAAACAAAAGCAGAGCCAAAACCGCCTAGTTCTCAATTAATGGAAAAAAGTTTAATACCTCCGCTACAAACAAAGATAGAATTAAAGCCACCTACTTTCCAATTGATTGCAAAGAGTTCAATGCCTCCACTACAAACAAAAGCCGAACCAAAACCACCTAGTTCCCAATTAATTGAAAAAAGATTAATACCTCCACTACAAACAAAAGCCGAATTAAAACTACCTGCTTCTCAATTGATTGAAAAGAGTTCAATACCTCCATTACCAACAAAAGCAGAATTAAAACCACCTAGTTTGCAATCGATTGAAAAAAGTCTAGAACCTCCTTTATTAAGAACACAAGAATCAAATTTATCTAGTATTCAATCACAAGAAAAAGAACCAATACGTTCACAAATAATTGGAATCATCTCATGATCATCAAATGCTGATTAAATAAAAAACTTGAATCTTTTCATAATTAATTAACTTTATAGAAATCGTTTTAGTTAGAAAAATAGTTCATAGCAAGCCATATCTTTTATTCATAATTTGGCTTATTTCATATGTAATGATGTTTTCAATTCTATTGAACATACATTTAATAAAGTTTGTTTGAAAAAGCTTTTAGTAGAAAAATAGATTTTTCTCGTGCAGACGAAGAGCAAATATACTAATACTTATTGTGATTTGATTCGTATTACATGAATGTAATTTATGATAGATGCGACGGAATGTTTTCTCGTTCATTGATGATGACTAACTTGTACGGTTCATTTCTACAAAGACTAAAAATCATGTACTAATATGGATGTGCCGTGTTAATGTAAACACCGAACAGTGGGTTACCGAGATAGTGTCCGCTGAGACACTAACTTCGCTGACATTTGTATTCGCAGCAATATTCAGACACAAACTCTATCGTAATATACCTTTTTTGTTGTGTTGCATTTCAATACTTCAATGTACACTGTTTTAGAAGATACTTTCTTTCGGAATCATTATCATAAACAATTAAAAGATGAAGTCAGTCACTTTTGTTTCTATGAATAGAGTTGTGAGATTAAAAATCAAGTATCAGTCGTCAATCGTAGCTTGATTTAAATTTGTTAAGTAATAATCACAATTGCTCCTTAGAAAAGAACCTTCTGTCTACATATCATTGTCCAGGAATCAGTCAAATCCCTTTATGCTGAACAGTTAAAAGAAATCATGACTCCCTTTTCTTCTCTGTGACAGACACCCTAGCAATACTTCTCTATGACAGACGTTGATATACGATCATAGATCATATATGAATAACGTTTCGTTATAATATATAAACTACTTCATTATGACATTTCTGAATGATTAAGTTAAAAAAAATGATCAAATGTGTCGACAAAATCGATAGAATAAAACAATCTTTCTTTGACTAAACACAGCAGCTACGTATATTTCACACTTTAATCCCACAGGAATTGCATTAATAGCTTTCTATTTCTGCTTTTTTTTCACAGTTATTTCTGCTCCTCTATTTCGTTTTTGTTAACGCAAACTACCAAGAACAATATCGTTTTCTACTATCTTATATGTATATGAAAATTTACGAGAGTCAGCTAAATCTCGATGAGTACGAGCCGAAAAATAGATTTATCTTCATATGATTATAGATCTAATTAAACTTTCGTCAGAACTACTCATACACATGTAGAGAAACACTGTTAAATCATCAAATGTAAATGAAAGAAAAATAAATAATCATCTTAATCCTGTTTCGAATATGTAAATGATTTTTCTTATGAACAAAAAAATAGAATATTTGTTCATCAATGTCTTTTTTTTTTGTGTTAAGGTGATTATTATGTTCTTAATGGAAGTAAATTTTGGATTACAAATGGACCGGATGCAGATGTACTTGTTGTTTATGCAAAAACAGCTCCAAATAGTGAAAAGCCTCAACATGGCATATCAGCATTTATTGTTGAAAAAGTATTAAATCATTTTAAAAAATATATTATAGATTAATATGAAAATATTTTTTAGGATATGGAAGGTTTTTCAACAGGAAAAAAACTTGATAAAATGGGCATGCGTGGATCAAATACATCTGAACTTATATTTGAGGATTGTAAAGTTCCAGGTAAAGAAATAGCATATTAATTTATAGATGATTGTAAAAAATATTCGCAACTTTTTGATAGCTAAAAATTTACTTGGCAAAGAAAATCGTGGTGTTTATGTATTAATGAGTGGTTTAGATTTTGAACGTCTTGTACTCGCAGCTGGTCCTGTTGGGTAAGATTAATATTATAATCTCTTTAAACTATACGTACAATGAAATAAGAATTTCAATCTAAATATTTCTGTCTTAAGATTTTGTATTGCTTAAAAATCTTTTTCTAGTCAATATCTCACGCAAGGATTATTTCTTGTGTCTCGAGTCTTCTAGAATGTTTCTAGCATTAAGTGAAGATCTATTGGTTATGTCTTTTCAAAAATACAAAAGCAACGTACGAGAAAATAATCATAACTTCGGGCTAAAAAAACTTACGGTTTTCCTTTGTTGTAAGCACTAATAAAAATTCAAATAGTGATTTATGTAGAGAATTTTATTTCGAAAAAGAATTTTCGCACATGACAAAGGTTGCTAGTTTCTCAAGAATAAGGTCTCTGAAAAGCCGAAATTCAAGGTTTTCATCTCCTGAAATTCGCAAATAGAATTTTGTTTCAATTATTCAAAGGAATAGAGTAAACAAATCTGTACAAAATGAAATATCTTCTAGCTCTTTACGACGTTGGTAAAAAAAAACTTCGTAGAGAGCTGTAAGTTGTTTCATTTTGTAGAAATAGGTTTATTCTGTCCTTTTTGAGAAATTCACATAGAATTCTATTTGCAACTTCCAAGAGATGAAAAACTTGGCTTTCAGTTGTTCATAGATCTTTTCTTTTCGTCTTCGGAAATGCTTTTTGGAAATAGGATTCTCTACAAAAATTACTATTTGAATTTTTATCAGCGTTTACAGCAGTAGGAAATAATGAAAATAAGTCTGTTCGAATAATGTTGGAGATCGCCGTAGGTGGATGGATTCATATCAAGTATTGATAACAGGAGTGTGTTGCCTTCCATGATTTAGAAATTCGTTCACTCAACATCCTTCTGTTATGGAGAATTGTCCATTCAGCGTCCCTTTTCTCTGGAATTCAACTCCTCTATTTCCGCTGCTCAATTATATTTCTGATCGATAAAAGTATATTCTAATGTACTTTAAATGGCGTTCACTGAGAACACTGATCACTTAGTCGAGATGAAAATTTTCTATCTATTGACTTCGTCTTTGAGCCATTTCTGACAAAGAAAACGATGAATTTGGAACACCAAAATAATTAGTATCATGAGACCTAAGTTTTGTTCAACTTTATTTGGTTAATATTTTTGGCTCAAGGTATATCAAGCAATCTGTTTTTATTTATACTAATACCCATTCAAACTCATAGTGGTAATTTAGAATTGTCTGTCACTACAAGTAACTACATATTTAATAGTCATCTTTATTTTCTTGAGATTTTCAAAAAGAAAGAACATAGTCTTAAATCATTATGGTTATCAAATTGAACTTGCTTTTTGTCTCTAGTTTAATGCAAGCTTGTTGCGATATTGCTTTTGAGTATGCGCATGCTCGAAAACAGTTTGATAAACCAATTGGTACTTATCAAGTAAGATTATTTTCAGGTTTTCTTATTTTATTTTTGAAAAACTGCTAAATAATTTCTAGTTAATACAAGCAAAAATGGCTGATATGTATACAACATTAAATGCTTGTCGTTCTTATTTGTATACAACGGCAAAAGCAGTTGATAAAAATATTATAAGTAATAAGGTAAAAAGAACACGATTTTCTCTTTTCATGTAATAAAATTTTTCGGATTATTTAGGATTGTGCCGGTGTTATATTATATTGTGCTGAAAAAGCTACACAACTATGTCTTGATGGTATACAAATTCTTGGTGGTAATGGATATATCAATGATTATCCAACAAGTCGTCTTTTACGTGATGCTAAACTGTATGAAATTGGTGCTGGTACAAGTGAAGTTCGACGACTTCTTATTGGACGTTCTCTTAATGCAGAATATGGAATAAAATCTTAAGTATAAAAAATATATTTTTCCTTAACATGAAACAAGAAAACAAGACATTTAGATATCTTTGTATGTTAGGTTTTTGGTAATTTTATTTTCCACTAATAAATGATCGTTTATCAGAAAATAAAAAAACAGAGAGAGAGATAAACATTGATGAACAAACACGAAAAAATCGATCTTTTTTTTTCCCGAGAGAAATCTTATTTAAAAAAAAAATAAGTATATGTCGATAACTTTAGTTCATGTTTGGAATTTTCGCAATGATTGATTCTATTTATTTTAGTTTTTTCATGTGAAATCATAAAACCAATTTTCCTTTTTTATTCATATCAATTTTTACCATCAATGTTCATATGAGATATTCTCTTAGCTATAAAAATCTTTTGATAAAATATGATCTAAAAGTCGGTTATTCAGAGATAAGACTAGCATTATCTTCTTTCATCATTGGTGATTGTGATGTTGTCGTTTTTGTTGTATTCGAAAGAATATCAGTTGTTTTAATTGAAGTTGTTGTTACTTGATTTATTAATGTCGAAGAAAATATTTCTATCTTGAAATTAAGAAAAATATTTTTCACAGAAAAAAAAACAATTGAATATACTCTTATGCTAATAGTAATACTTATTGCATGTAATGTAATGCTCTCGAGAAACCCCGTACTTGAGATGGTGCTGATAATGAAAATCACAGCAGTTTCATCAATACCTATTGATTGAAATGATGTAGTCTTATTAGACCCCGTCGACATCATGATGGAAATTTCAGTGGTACTTGTTGATGCAATTGAAATCATTGCACTCTATACTTGTCGATGCCTTTGAGAGGTTTCAGTGATACTCCTCTATAAGGTTATTCTATTTTGAATGATATTTGTACTTGAAGGTATTATTGAAGCCATTGTGGTTGGAATAACAGTAGTTGTTGAATTCATTGTCGTAGTTATAGCAATTTCCAATCCAAAATGGTAGTGAATACGGTGATACTCGTTGTTGAAACGATACTTGTTTGTAGAGGATTTGTGGTAGAAACTATTGTCGTTTTGATCGTTGTTGGAATAACAATCAGAAAGAAAATGTTTTCTATTTGATTGAGTCACATGAGGTGAAACCTAGGATCTTCTGTGATCCTTTGCCTATTCGATCAATCCCTGTACTGAACTTATAAATTTGAACTTCTTTTTTCGACTACTTCAGTTTCAATCATCTACCATAATTAATAAGACCATTATATGAAGATATTCAATCTCATGTTTTATTCTTAGTTTAATATGACAATCCATCTTTGCCGATGATCCACTAAGAAATTTGAATAAATATTCATGTTTTCAAGATCTTTTTTCTTTGCCATTATCAGTGTGACTCAATAAATATCACTTGTTTAAAAAAAAAAACAAATTCAACAGAAATTCATTATGGATATTGGTTTCAATAATATACTGTGACGAAAAGAAAAGTAGTCTAGAATGAATAGAAAATCGTATTGCAACTATTACAATAGATTCATCTAGAACATTCTATTGAAGTAATATTGAAGTAAAATATTTCAATCTTGTCAAAGTGAAAATCCTATCAACCTGTGACAAAGAAAACGAATCATAGAGTGAAATAAATAGACTTGTTGATTTTTATTCAATCAATCATATGAATGGGCATGCGAAAACTTACATAGACACAAACATTATTGTTGTTAAAGATCCTCTCGGGAGAACACGATTGCTATTTCAATTCATTCTCAAGGAAAATACTGTTTTTTATTGCATTTGTTTGATGCTCAATCAAAACTGTATTGAATTTCTCTGGTCAGCTTTTCAAAAAAAATTATTTGTGGGTATCATTTAGAAATGAACGAGAGAGAGAGGAAGTAAAGCTGCTACTAGTGCCAAAGGCTCTTCAAGGGTGTGAGCGAGTGCGACTGTCTCTCTTCTCACCCACCCCCAACCCACACCATAAAGAGTATTATAATGATCAGAAAACTATTATTGGTTTCAGAAGTCAAGACATTTGGTTGTTTTTGAATAATGTTTGAAAGGAAAAAGATAGAAACCTGCGATTTTCAGCGTTTGGTAGTCAAGATTTAGGAGTATATTTTCATAAGCAAAATCTCTTCTGATAAGAACTCTGAAGACCAGTTTTTCACAATATCTTTGGAAAACCATACTGGATTTCTGAAAACTACCATAATAGTATATTGATTTTTTTTAAATATTGGAAATCAGCATCAAAACATGAGCTGACTCATATATAATTATTTTAAATGTTTTCAAGAACCTTTTTTTCGTGGAAAATTTCACTCCTAGTTCCTCTCAGCAATGGGGCAAAAAATAAATCGAGTCAAAATGCATTTTCTATTGTTTAGTCGATTGCCATTTTGCGTTGTAATAACACTTCACAAGCTCCACAGTTGCTTTCCACTGTGCAAGTGACTTGATGACTGGATTCATTTTTCGGTCTGTTGTTGAGAGGAACTAGGGGTGAACTTTTCGACGAAAAATAGAAGTTCATGAAAAAATTTAATATATATATGAGTCGACTCAGATTTTGATGCTGATTTCACATATATGTAAAACAATCAATATGCTCCTATAGCACTTTTCAGAAGCCCAGTGTGATTTTCCAAAGACACTCTAAAAAGTCGGTCTTCAGATTTGTTTCTCAGAAAAGACACTGTTTATGAAAATATACTCCTGGGTTTTGACTATCAAACGCTGAAAATCGCAGGTTTCTGTCTTTTTCCTTTCAAACGTTATTTAAAAAACAACCAAGTGCCTTGACTTCTGAAATCAATAATAGTAATTATATTGAGCATTTCGTTATTTAATCATCGATTATTCGTCAATCAATACTTAATTTGGTTGTGATTTTTTTTCATGAACATGATCAGAGAAAATCGATCCAATGTGCTAAGTTCTTTGACTGAGACATGCTAAAGAAAATTACTAATGTGCAGTTTGTTTTTAAAATTGTTGCAATGAATATTCTAGTTTAGCTACTGCCGAAACTATCATTTGTTTTTTTTCCAGAATTTTGGCAAATCTGATCAAAGTTCTATGCTATTAAATTTCTCACTTTGAAATCTAGTTTGTTGTTGATGAATAAATTGATTTAGTTTGAGAAATTAATACAAAGAATTATTCGTTGTTGGTATTTCCTTCATTGAGTGTGTACTTAGAAGAAAGTTTGGGATGGATATTCAATATGTTTTAAAACATAATAGATAGTAGTTACACTTTTCTCCTCCCTATTTTGATCTCTTGTTTGATGTGTGATTTACTTTCTACATATTTTTGTTATGGACCTTGACTTTTCAGTAGTCATGTTCATATGAAAAGTGGTTGAAAGAACAAATCAAACCAGTTTCCAATTAAAAAAATCTAGATAAACAAACATCGTTTTTCAGTTTTTTATTTCTAAAAAAAAGAATCACTTCTTCATCGATTTTCACGTGACACAATCAATTGTCGACAACAGCACAAAAAAAGACCGTTCAATGCATTTACTTCGCTTATGAATAAATGATTTTCTAAATCTGGTTGGTTTGATACAAATTCGGTCCAGTTTCAATCACCAGGACTGCTTGATCATGCATATTTCTTGATCTTTCGTGAATAATGCATCATTTCATTTCGATTCTTCTTCTTTATTAAATAGTCAATGGTAACTACCCAGGACGAGCATTACGACACTCGTAAACGATCGTATTTCACCGTATTACTTGCCACCAGAATTACTACTGTATATTGTCGTGTCGTACACGACGAAATACGACTTGTACACGACCGTACACAGTCGTATACAATGTTGATTATTATCGTATTCCATATAAGCTTTTCCTATCTCTCCTCCGCTCTCCAAAAATTGAAAAACTAATCGTTGGAGTGTCCAGTCTGATTGGAGCTCCCAATTTTTTTTTCTCATGCTGCTTCGATGATATATCATTGTTTTATTTCGATATATCAATAAAGCTGAAGGAAAAATAATTGAACCTCCAGCCAAATTGGACATTCTCATTTAATTATCTTTATACTTACCGGTTTCATTTATCCTTCCTAATAATCTAAAAAATAAAAATAAAATTCAACAAATAGCGAAGTAATTAAATAATAGAGATATTAGTATTAAATCTAATCTAATCTCATGTATAGTTTACTACACTAATTCTCGAGTCAACATTAAAGAAAAATAAATTGATAAAAAAAGATTTCAGAAGCATTCAAAACTGGAGATTTAATATCATCTAACTACTATGAACTGACTACTTTATGTAAGACAAAGTTCATATATATTAAATACGAGACACCTATCTTACGTCAAGAGTTGAGTACTTAATGGAAAAAGAATGCAGATATATGTACATGCATACAAAATAAACAGGGTATATCTTCTACCGTTACAAATATTATTGAAGAGTAATATCTGTGTTAACAAATACATACTTGATCGAAGAAAAAACGTAGTACATAGTTTTAAATAAGAGATGTGGGTAGGTGTGGATGTTCTCTCAATCAACACCCACACCCTCTTTAAGTGGACAATTAACTTTTATATAATGGCTGAGCAAAGATACTGGTATAGAGGGGTCTACGAAAATTAGTCGTTACGAAAATTAGTCCTGAAGAGAGAATGGTCGAGAGTTTCATGATTTCAAGAAAACCATAATAAAAAATAAAATGTCTAGTTGAGACATAATTTAATCATCGACGGTATAGGATGGATATGAAACTATAAACAATTTTTAGAGTATTACGAAAAAGAACTCATCTTTCTCTGATGTATGGGAATTGATATAAATTCTTGATTAATTAATCCAAACAAGCTTCTACTTCTTAATAGTGTATGTTGGGATAAATCAGATTACTTTTGACCTAAAGCTAATTAGATTAAAAAAATTTGAATAGAATATATATTAAGCCACTGCGAGTATTCCATATTTTTTTTCTAAAATGTCAACATTCAAGTTGAGTACTACTCAAAGAAACAAACCTCTATTACTTTGTAAAGGCTTTTGTTATACCATCGATAAAACAACTGATGATAAAATTTATTGGAAATGCGAATTTGTTCGAACGCTTAAATGTAAAGGTCGAATTCATACTAATCCTATTAATACAATCATTTTACATGAAAATAATAATCACAACCAACTTGAAAATGCTGTTTCAAGTGAAATTCGACTATTTGAGGAAAAAAATCGTGATCGTGCTGTTAACTATAATGAATCTACACAAACTGTAATTGACAATTGTTTAAATAATTTATCTGATGATACTGTAGCACGCATTCCAAACTTTAAACATATTAATTTTCATACCTATCGGATCATTTTTTTTGTATCCATGAATTTTTTCTGTACTTGTTTCTTCGTCTTTTTTTTTATCTATCTGGTTCATTTCTATTCAATCATTCGATTTATGTAACATTGTTCTATTAAAATAGTTACTAGTAATTCATTTTTATATCTGAAATTGAGACTCAATATTTTTGATGAGAACAGTTTTTTTCTCTAATTATAAAATCTCGACTAATATTCGCATCAGCCAATTTTCGTTTTTTCGGTATAGAGATCTTTCTATTTTTTTATTTGTTGTCTAGAATAATTTGGTACATGTAAAAAGGATTATCTGCAGTTTACATACACTTGTATATTTTATTCGATGACAAATATAGTTCTTATTTTGATTTATATCCATATATTTATATTAATGAAAACACTAGGTGTGGCAGCATTTTAATACCGTGTAGAAAACTTGAGAAA